GGTCCGCCTCCACCACCAGACTCCTTCTCTGAAGAAATTCAGGGGTACAAGCAACATAAAGTGTAATAGTCTGTTTCAGCACATTTGCATGTAGGCATATGTGAAGATTAAAACTATTTGGTTAGGCTAGGGAAGAAATTATAGGTAGTTTTCCCTAAAAATTCATTATAATACTACCACTTTGTTTTTACAATCCTAAAAAAAAAAAATAGAAACTATTTTTTTACTGGTCAGCTGTGGCTAGGCTGGGCTATGGTAATAATGACCCTAAAATCTCAGGGGCTCCTAACAAGAGAAATGTACTTGTTGCTCTGTTATGTGTCCTTCCTAGGTTGGCTGCAGTTCTTCCCCACGTCATCTTCATTCTGGAACCCAGACAAGGGGTAGACCCAATGTGAGACATGCTGGTCTTGTGGCAAAGGAAGGAAATGAGAGATGGCACAACCAGATGACAGATCTTAACATTTCTGCAAGAAGTGGCTCACATCAATCCCACTCACATGTGATTGGCCAAAGCAAGTCATGTGGGCAAGAAAGGTCTGTGGGTGGGGAATGGAAGGCTTTTACAGCAAATCGTTGCAAACCATAATACAATGTAGCACAATTTATTTATACACCTTTTATAATGGGATGGAGGGGGGGTGCCCTCTGAGGTCTCCTCTCTAGATTTGGTAAGAATCTTTGGCCTCTGAATCCTGATCGGCTTCTCGTCAGAGGCCCCTCCCTTTGGGCCATCCAATCCTGACTTTTTTTTTTTTTTTTAAGATTTTATTTTTAAAGAATCTCTACCCTCAAGGTGGGGCTCAAACCCACAGCCCCGAGATCAAGAGCCATATGCTCCCCGGATTGAGCCAGCCAGACGCTCCTAATCCTGACCACTAACAGCTTTCCAGGGGGCCCGGGTGGGCGAGCCTCCGTGAATTGACTTCTTTGTTCCTGCTGTTTGGCGTCCTGTGATAGGGTAGCGGCACTAACTCTCAGCTCACCCCCTGGGAAATGTCTCTGGAAGCCTCTTCAGACCCGTCGTCACCCCCGGGAGCCACGCCCCCACTTACCTTCCAGGTTCTGCGCGCTGCCCAGCTCCAAAAGCCTCCCGGGACACATGCAAGGCCATGGTGTCGGTTGGGTTCCAAGAGCTATTTTCTCACATCCTGGACTTACTGATTCGTGACCAAAACACTTAGTTGTGCTAATTTCCAGAAACTCCCAGATTCAGTTCTCTCCGACTCTGCGTGCCAGAAACCTAAGGGAAGGCGGCCTATTGTGCACGCCTGCATGCGGAGGTTCTGCCACTTGACTGAGTAAGAATCCCTCAGGAGGCTTATTAAAAGGCAGCTTCCTGATACTCGGGCATTAAAAGGCAAGTATCCAGATACTTATGCAGACGGTTTGGGACTGGGCCTAGGAATCTGCATTCAACAATCTCTCTAGGCAACTGACACCTGAGGGAGTTTGCAATGTCCCAGTTCTGATGGTCTCCACGACAGGCCTGGGCGGGATCCAGTGCAAGGGCCCCTGCAAGGAAGTGGCCACCTGCACAGAAGGCCTTTGAGGGACTGACTGTATGGTCAGAAGACATCTTGGGCCAGGGAGTAACTACTCTCTCTCCTGCGTCACACTTCTCAAGAGCAGTCACAAAAACTCAGATCACCAAATCCAAAGAGGCTCCCTCAGAGGGTTCAGACAGCTCCACTGTTGGCAGGTGTCCCAGTTTTAGCACCTTCCGGCAGGGCTGCTGTATAATCCTGATTCTACATGAATTGTCTATTTCCTTTTCCACTTCTTTTCCTGCTTCCCAGTCTAGAAATCCACAAGATTTTTTTCTGGGTCAGCTTTTAAAAAATTGTAATAGATTCCTTTTTTCTTAATGGTAAAAGTAATGCAACTTACTGTGGAGAGTTTAGCAAATGTAGTAAAGCAAAAGTAAGAAAATAAAGACCGTCTGTAACACTAACGTCCAAAGATATGTGGGATTATCTCTTTCTCTGCTTGTATATTCATATATTTTTATTAAAAATGAAATCACACTGTATATTGTGATCTTATTATTTGCTTTTTGTACTTAATGTATAGTGAACATTTTTTGTTATATTCTTCTAATACATCATTTTTAATGGCTATATTGTATTCCATCATAGATTCCATTTATTTATGCAATTCTCCATTGTGGGACATTTAGTTTCTACTTGTTTTTAATGATAAATAGCGCTTCAATGAATCTCCTTTTGTGAATCATTGTGAACTATTATTCTTTCTTGCTGTAAGTGGAATGTCTCAATGACTAGGCCTTCTTGGGCCTCTGTGTACCATCCTATCAGGAATTCCATTGAGTGTGGGTTCAGCTGCCGCCTCTCTAGTGGTAATTCCCAAAACCATGTCTCTTGTCCCAGTCCTGCTCCCGGGCAACAGACTTAGATTAATACTCTGCCTGTTGTACCCTCTAAAGATCACAGAAGCACCTCTGGCTCAACCACATCCAAGAATGAACTCAACATCTTCCTCTTTTTTTTTTTTTTTCTTTAAGATTTTATTTTTAAATAATCTCTACACCCAATGTGGGGCTCAAACTCAAAGCCCTGAGACCAAGAGTCACATGCTCTGCTGACTGAGCCAGCCAGGCGCCCCTCCACATCTTCCTCTTTAATGACCTCCCTCGTATGCCCCGCTCCTGCCTGTGGAACCAGCGCTCTCCCAGCCCCCTGGGGGGAATCTTCATGTCCTCTTTCCTCCCATGATCCACTTGTATTAAAGTTATCCAGTCTTCTGCCCGCATCTCCACCAGTTCAAATCCCGTCCAATGCTCAAAGCCTAGCTCAAATCACTTCGTTACAGGAAGCTTACCCTTATCTTTCCAGATCTATCCAATCCCCGAAGGAGAGGGAGGGGAAGACAGAAGAAAAACGTGAAGAAATAATGGCTGAAAAGCATGTGAAACTTCATGAAACCGATAAACCCAATGAACCTCAAGCACAAGAAACACACACACACACAAAACCTTACTTTTTTGTATATATTATACCTCAAAAAAAAAATCAAAGAACATATTTTTAAAAAATGCTTAAAACCAGTGACAGAGCTTTTCATCACCAAAAGTTAAAAAAATAAATGAACAGAGTTAAGGATGATGAAAAATTTCTCAGTAGAAACAATGTGTACAAGAGAGTGGAGCAACATCTTCAAAGTACTGAATAAAAAACAAACAGGGGCGCCTGGGTGGCTCAGTTGGTTAAGCGACTGCCTTCAGCTCAGGTCATGATCCTTGAGTCCCGGGATCGAGTCCCACATCGGGCTCCCTGCTCAGCGGGGAGTCTGCTTCTCCCTCTGACCCTGCCCCACCTCACGCTCTCTCTCTTTCTCTCTCTAATAAATAAAATCTTTAAAAACAAAGAAACGTGACTCCCTAGAATTCTATATCCAGGAATAGAACTGTTTGAAAACAAAGGTAAAATAAAGACATTGTCAGACATATGAAGGCCAAAGGAATTCATCAGCAGTAGAACCACACTGCAAAAAAAAAAAAAAGTTTTCTTCTGGCAGAAGAAAAATGATAGCAGGTGGACATGTGGATCTACAAAAAGAATGAAAAACACCAGAAATGGTAACTAAATGGGTATATATGTAATTTAAAAAATTATCTTCCTCTTTAAAAGATAATTAACTGTTTAGCCAAAAATAAGAGTCACAGAAAGTCAACACAAGAAGGAACCTAGTCGGCCACTCATTTGGAAATGAATTATTTACTGTCATTCAACGGGTGGGAGGGCGAGGTAATATAAATCAGGTTTCCTGATGCCTTGTCCAGATTTTCAGCTACTTCACTGAATGATGACAGGTACAAAACTCCTTTCTAACAGACCAGAAACAGTTACTCTTTTTCTGGTTTCCAGGTCAAATACTCTTCTCCCTTTTCAGTCCTTCCTGTCACCATTCCTTGCTCACACACTCCATTCCTGATAATATTTACACGGTGCTTAATAGTTGCCAACTCTTCCATGTCTGTTACCTCACTTGATCCTAAAAACAACTCCCAGAAGTAGGTAGGTCAGGAGTTTGCATCTTCTTGATTTTTATGGGATGCAGAAACTGAATCTCAGAACGGAGTTAAACTCCCCAGCACGAGGGATTAATAGCGTGGTGAAGTTAGAACAACCACCTTCTGACTCCAGATTGCGTGCTCATTCTGCCAGCCCCATACTGCCTCTCTCACGTGCCTGAATTCCATGTTGTCTGGCACACATCTTCTAAATTATTTTCTCATACCCAAAATCACAACTTTTTTAGAAACACAAAGCAACTTCAGAAAAGCAAAAGTACTACTTTGCTTCGGCTTATTTATAACATGCTCCTTCTCTGAAAGTAAAAGGAGTCCTGAAAATGGAACATTGGTCATTTGCTGTAAGGGACATCGAAACAATTAGAAAAAACTAAGTTCACGATGACTATGAACAAATTAGTCACAGGCTAGAAAACAGGGATTAGACCATCACCAAACAGAAGAAAATGTACAATTTATCAATGGAAAGGCTCTTGGTTTTGTATTTCAAGTACCTTTTTTTTTTTTTAGGATTTTATTTATTTATTTGACAGAGCGACAGCTAGAGCAGGAACACAAGCCCGGGGAGTGGGAGAGGGAGAAGCAGGCTTCCCGCTGAGAAGGGAGCCCCCACGCGGGGACGCAGGGCTCAATCCAGGATCATGACCTGAGAGGAAGGCAGATGCCCAAAAACTGAGCCTCAGGTGCCCCGCAAATACCTTTAAATGTAGATGTGGTACACCCAATGTTTAGATCATATCCAATTCATACTGAAAACAGTCTATTAGCAGTGTACAGTTTGTGGAGACAAAGTCTTTCATTCAGTAAACAATTACCACCCTCCCTTTCCCTCCCAACTTTGTGTGAGCCACTGTGCCAAGTGTTGCAGATCGGAAAAAGAGTAAGGCCTCATCTCTAAGCTGTTCACTAACAGAGACACAGACGCAATAAAACATGAGCTTAATGGAGGGATATTCCCAGGTGCTAGAGGAAGAGGAAAGGAAGCAGGCTGATTCAACAAATCATTTTTCAAAGTGAATGCCTTGGTAGTCCATTTGCCAAATAATCAAAAGAGAAAACAGCCAATTTACAGAGTTTACCTAATTTGCTAAAACCTTCTAATATTTTAAGATCTCTCAATATACATAGATGTGTTCTCTGAGGACTTGCTGCTGTCAGTCTGCTGTTGTGCTAAGCACCGTACACATTGCCTTCTCTTGGTAAGTTACATGGCACTCACTAAAGCTCACAGAGGTTAAGTAACTTGGCCAGACTCACACAGTAAATCAGTGGCAGAACTGAAGTTTAAAACCAACTTGTCTGAATCCAGTATCTGATTTCTCAACAACTCTATACAACCTGCTTTATAATATCTACTGATTTTTTTATGTGCTAGACACTGTTCTAGATTCTGCACATGAATTATATCATTTATTATTTACAACTCTGAGTTAGCAGAGTCTTTTTCTAGATGAGAAAACAGATTCAGAGAAGTTATACCGCAAGTCCTTTTGGGACTCATCTGTTCGGAGCCCTCCAGTAGGTTCCCCTTCTACTAAGACAGTCATCGTAATGACCTACGGTGGCCAACCCAATACCTCCCCATGCTCATGGCCCACTGCCCTTGGCTCTCCTCCCTTTCCACTCTCACTCAAGCTGACTATTCTTTGAATTCGCCTAGTGCACTCGTACATATCCCTCTGCCTAAGATCTTCCTCCTTCAGGGTTCACTCACATGTCACCTTATTCCAAGTGCGGCCTTTTCCTTGACATCCTTTAAAATTGTACCCACCCCATTCCCCTTTCTTGTCTCCTCTCCATAGCTGTCACTAACTTACTATATCGTTTTAAATCATCTGTCTCTCCCCACTAAGAGGAGACCAGGGAGTTTTGTTTTTTGTTTTTTAATGCTTTGCCCATCACTGTGTCTCTTGCACTTGGAACAAAGTACAGGCTCAAAATGTATCAGTTGAGTTAAACTTTTGCTCAGGGTTAGAGTGTGAATCTGAACCCAGCAGATAATCCCTAACACCATCCTCTTTCCATTACATCAAATGTGCTAATAATGCCAGAGAAAAATGCATGCTCCAGTGAGCTCAATTTTGGAAACAAGGGCCTCACAGGGCTCGTTTTGTTTCATAGGCCCCAGAGACACCTGGAACTTTATGGAGTTTTTACAGCTAGCCACATTCATATAAGTAAATGTTGAGAATGTGAAGAAGGCCAAAACTGGAGCAGAGTGGACAAAGTAGATGGAGGTGAAAAAGCTACAAAAGGAAACCGAACAGATGACAAAGAGAGGCAAAACTCAGTGAAAAGTTGTGAAAGCCAAGAGGTTGGGTAGTCGACAATGTTGGATGATAAAAACCAAAACTGAGGTTAGAAAGTGTAACAGGGGGGCACCTGGGTGGCTTACTTGAGCGTTCGGCTCGATTTCAGCTCAGGTTATGATCTCAGGGTCCTGGGATCGAGCCCCACATTGGACTCTGCATATGTCGGGGAGTCTGCTTGGGATTATCCCTCTCCCTCTGCCTCTCCCCAAGCTTGCACTCTTGTCTCCTGATGGATAAATCTTTTTTTAAAAAAAGCAAATAGAACAGGACTTTGTGATTTAGGAAGTCATCAGGATCTCATGAGACTTTATTATAGGAATTTCAGAAGCAGTGCCAAACTCAAGTCAGAATGATGAGATTTATGAGCTCCTTACTTAAGCTGGAGTTGCTTCCTATTTTAAAAAACAAGGCCAAACACCTAAACATTTGTCTTTCAGTGTTATCGCTACCTGAATTTTAGAATCAAATATACTACTCTACTAACGTTTTTCTCCAAAACTAGCAGAGGGAATTTACCTTTTTAAGGCAAACAATTTTGGCATGTTCAGGAGGATATTTAACCAAGTCAGGGTCCTGATGTGTTCACATTTTGATGTAATCCCACCATTAATAAAGAGCTAACAAGAGTTTGGTTAATATCTAAACACTGCTTAGCATGATCTTCAACAGAGAACACAATTAAACCAACAGTAATAACTAAGGAAACTTGATGGATCTGTAAGATTTCTTTTTCAGTTTTTATAAAGAAACAAAGTGAGACCTAGCCCAGAAAAGTTATGATTTTGAAATGTTCTAAAATCGTTAAGATCAGTAAAATATATTACCCGAAACTGGGTATACTCCCAGACACAGCTGTATGTCCTTTCTAAATATAAAGTTTACTCTCTATTTCGGTGGTGGCAGGTGTTTATAAAAGTGAGATCGCAGCCAAACAATTCCATTAACCCTTTAAGAAATGTGTAAAATACGTTCATGTGTCTATATATATGGTCGATGTGAGGCCACTGCTGCTACATTCCTAGCAAGATGCAAGGTGGAGTATCTTTAGAAGTTTTAGTTGTGCACATAAGCCACAGTTGGCTTGCTTTCTCTTTGCTTCCACTCTGAAGGTCAACTGATACATTTTTTTAATTATTCTTGAATTACTGAATTCTTTTTAGGATTCTTTATTCATTTGACAGAGAGAAAGAGAGCACGCGCAGGGGGAGCGACAGGCAGAGGGAGAGGGAGAAGCACGCTCCCTGCTGAGCAGGGAACCCCATGCAGGGCTTGATCCCAGGACTCTGGGATCATGACCTGAGCTGAAGGCAGGCACTTAAACGGCTGAGCCACCCAGGCGCAACCTATTGAATTATTCTGGATGAACTCTTACCTAAATACTAAATGATCTCTACATAAAAAGACAGCTTGCTACCCTCATCGTATAATTTTTCTAACAAACCATCAATAATTTCTGGCCTGTGATTCAAGTAATATCTTCACCATAACTCTAAACAAGATTTGAGTTACTGGACTAAAGAAATGCTAATTAAGCCTTATTGTATCCTCGAAGTACCAAAAGACCCTGACGGTCTGAGTTTACTGTAATGGAAAATGTTAAATTCTATCTACCAAAAAAGGGTAATGGACTTTTTAAAAAATGACAACAGTAAATATTTAAGAGATTTATTAAAGCATCTTATCACAAAGATGGAAACACATACAAATTAGAAACATGCAACCATCATCTTCCACAGTCAAGTTAAAAGGTTATGTATTTTTCCTGTTTCCATAGCTGAAAACTTCAGATCTTATATCCAACTCACTCACCCCGAATATTTAAGTCATTCTTCCTGAAAGTATCCAGGGCAGCAAATAACCAAAATGCAAACTATTATATAAAGAAAGTGCAAAGTTAAAAAAGAAAATGTGTAGAGAATACCCCCATCCCACCCCCCAATAAAGGCAAACAATGGCACTTTGCTCTCGCTTAACCTAGATTGTCTCCAAAAACTATTAAAATGTATAGACTTAACGACAAAAAAAAAAAAAAGACTTTGAATAGATGTCCAAAAAGCTTGTTAGTGTTTGAAAATAAATGCTTCAACAAAGGAAAATGAATTTTATATCAAACAAGTCTGAAGAGCCCTGTACTGCAGCATCTTGTACAATAAACGAGACAAAAAGCTGGTATAGGGTTTATTGACAAAGGCAGGATCTCCTCAGGCAGGTACGTAAGGAGGCGGTGGCTCCTTCTCGGGCAGCTTCACGGCCATTTCATAGGTTGGCAAAACATACTGAAGAGAGAAAAAAATTATGTTGACTTAAAGCATCTTTACAATCCTACCTGGAATAATTCAGCTTTCAGATTTTAGCTGAGGAATTTGTGAGCTGAAAAGTTCCTGAGCGTAGAGAGGACTGGTAACTGGAGGTGAGCTGTCTGATCCAAGACTGCTAAAGACAGAGGGATGGAGGGGAGAGGGGCAGAATTTTGCTTCTGAACAGACCCTGAGGCTACCAAGGACACCTTGACAGGAAAGGAAGTAGGTGGCACAGCTCTCTCCTCCCCCACCACAGCATGACTGACAAAGTACCAATGCCTCAGGGGCTGCAAATCCAGGTTAAGGGCATCACGGAACTACACTAAAGGAAACCTCCTCCAGTAAGATGCTGGATCCTGGATTTCATCAAAATCAAAGGATCAGGCCCTTCTATCATTTCTTCTAGGGTAAAGGGCACATCTCTGTAGGAGTGACATTCCAACCCAAGTGTCTCCAAGTGTGACAGGCTGGCCCTATACAGGCCACATACATTCTACATGTTGAAAACCAGGAAAAGCTAATACAGCAACAACTAAAGGGCCCTTGAAGTAGGCCTCCCCACAGACTCACAGAACCCACTGCATTCATCTCCCCACAGAAAAACCAGCTTCCCCTTTTGATCATGTGGATGTTTTTTGAAAGCAACACAATCTGCACGTGACGGTATCCCATCCTTAGAAGTTCCAGAAGCCATGAGCCTGATATGGTTCACACGGCTGCTTCCTGTCTGATCTCCCCTGCAAATGCAACCATCCTAGAGACTCCCTAGGAGTGAAGCTGAACGAGCAGTACAAGAGGCCTCTCACCCACACACCCAGGTTTCCAAAGGGAAATGCTGAATCTTGCGGATGTAAGCTATCCATGCCCGAAACCATACATATGGCATTGACGAGGAAGTCAAGACCTAGGCTCTTGAGAATAATCAATACTGGCTACTGAAGATTTACTATATTAAAAAGGTCATTCACCTGCGGAGGTGCTTCAAAGGCAGGGTACACAGCAATCTCTGGCATGTTTCTGTTGTTAATATACTTATAGCAGTTCCAAACACAGTTGATTAGATACGCCTGAAAGAAGCAAACAAAATTTCCATATGCTAGAAACTCAACAGACTACCTGCTCTAAAATTAAGGTGGCTTATGCTTTTCCCCACATGTGTTCCATGGAGAAGGGAACACACATCCATTTGAACTTAGCACAGGCCAGGCCCTTTCCCTACCTGCTCACACTTAAATATCGTAAGTCTTAGATAGCATTTTACAGAGAAACCAGAACTAGGATTTTAATTCAGGTCTGATAACCACTGTGCTGCAAAAGAAATTCTGTCTCTGAACCTTTGGAATTTTAATACATTTTCAATCAAACCATTGATCTGTTGATCCAGAAACATGATGTTCCTTACACTTAGGAAGGATCCTGGAATTCCAACCACTCTCCGGAAACAAGAGGGAGGACATCCCCCAGAAGTTACCTTCACTACTATGTCAGAATAAACACTGTCCCCTAACAGTGAACTATAAGGAGAAAAGGCAACAAAAAGGTTTTAGACCAACTGTATCACAGTCTAACTGGCTGCCCAAACATTTAGTCAGCAACTCACCTTAAAAATGATGAATAAGGCGAAGAACACAAGAACAATGAAGAGTAGACAGCTGGAGTCCAATGCCAGGAGGTCATCTTTGTAGGGAAAATCAGGCTATTAAAAAAGGGGGGGGGGGGGGGAAGAGAGGTGAGCAGGCAGAGTAGAGAGGATTTTTAGGGCAGTGGAACTATTCTGTTTGATGCCACAGTGACTACTTTACACACTTGTCCAAACCTACAGAATGTACACCACAAGTGCACCCTCGAGTTAACTATGAACTCTGGGTGATAATGATGTGTCCATCACTTGTAACAAATGGACCACTATGGTTTGGGATGTGGACAGTGGGGGAGGTCAGGGAGGTACTTTCCAATTCAGTTTTGCTGTTAACCTAAAACTGCTCTAAACCATGAAGTTTATTAATTAAACACACACACTCATCATTCAGCTATGGCACCTGCACTTCATCATAGTCTAGAGAGCATCTTAAAAGTACAAAGAAAAGGCACCGAAATCAGAACTGATTTCCAATAAAAA